TTCCAGATAATTTTCTTATTTTAGCTACTTACCCCTTATTATAGGGATTGATGATATCCTAATATATATTTTCTTAGTCTATATTTAATTTACTACAATTTAAAAGAAAATTATATCGATATCATGATTTCTCTTTAAGATACAGCAAAAAGTCATCGAGTTTTTAAAAATACTCAACTTCACTCCTTATTTAAACCCGTACAATGAGGAATTTTGGCTGTCTTACATATTTTTTAATCTAATCTAATTTAATATTTTTCTCTTCTATAATTTTATTTAAAAAAAATTGTTAGGTTATCTCTATTATTTCTCTTTATATTAGGTTTTAACTAAAAAAATGCAGTCCCATTATTGTGAGACGTGAAAACCTGATAAGGCGATCTAACAAACGTTTATATTCTTCCGAATTAAATATTGCAATGTAACAAGAACTATAGATAATGGCAGAATCCAAAATCTTGCTGTAACGTTGATTGCTACAAGCTTATTGAGCTATTCACAGACAGGGAAGACTCAAAGAATACGTTTGAATAGAGAGTAATGGAATCACTGGAACTTATTGGATAAAACAATATATACAGTTTGAAAAAACGAAGCTCCTATACATTTACAGTCAGACCTTCACGTTTTAAGGATTGTTTTAGGTCGAAATTTTTGAGTAAACGTGGGCATCTTACTAAGCTAAGGCTATTTAACACCTCAACCTTCCTGGATGAAATAGGAAAAGAAAGAATATGATAACTTGTGCATATATAGAAACACAAAAATTATGAACAAAATAATCAATTTAAATAGCTAAAGCAAAATATACTCTATAGTAATCTTTATCACTATCATTGTTTAAAAAACAATGTCACTATATTAGATTCACATCATCTTTTTTATAATATGTACCTTTATTTGAACAGGTCATTTTAAAAACGACATATATCCACATTTTATTAAATAACTGACTTTTCAAACTTATCATGTAGTTTGTAGCAGCCTCTATCATTTCGTGAACAAATCACACTAATCCCATCCTTAGTTAGTGATGTAAGCATAGAACTGTATAGAACAAATAGAAGACTGTAAAGAGTTGTATTCCGAAATTTTTGACGGGCCTACAAAAGCAATAGAGTACAAAGACGATTAGTAAAATTATTATTTTTTGTATATATTACTGTTTACAACAATTTCTTTCTATTGTTCTATTCAAAGTTTAATATGTAAAATATATTATTAAGTTGACATTGCGAAAACGTAGTTTTATTTTAGAAAATTTTCGAAAAATAGCAGTCATTTTAAAAACCACATATATCCATCGATTTTAATGGTGTTTTATGAAAAAAGTATTATGTCAAAATATGCAACATATCGCACTAATAATACAATAGTGTCGCAACTCAAAATTCGTCGAAATTGACAGAACATTATATTCACGAGTAAAATTTAATTCCCTATAAGTCAATAATACTGTCGTTTTAATAGTGCAATAAATGAATAAGATATGGCGCCATAAGACGATATTCATGACTGATCGACTGCCGTCACCCCCCTTCACAATATCGCGTGATCTTTAGTTGCAACCAACGGTGATCGGAAACGCACGTATTGCTTTGCTCATCATTTCGAGTTTCAACGTTATTGCTGAATCAGGTATGTAATTTTCATAGCTATATTTCAAGTTATTACATTCTTGTTGATTTGAACCTAACCATAATATTGTTGTTTTTCTAGTTATTACACTATTACTGATTTACACCAGCACTTTTTAAATTATTATTTTTACTAACGACACTATTCTTGGTTCAGTTCATTATTTTTGACATGCTACATTATTGTTGAATAATCACTTTAAACCATTTTTGTTGTTGTTTGTAAAACATTTATTAATCAATATCTATTTGCCGATCACCGAATAGTAATAACTCATTTAAGAAGTGTAGCATTGTTATTAAGAAAGCTTATCAACTACTTTATTTTATAAATTTAGAGTTAATATACTCTTTGTGACATTCTTCCGTCAAGTACCTATATACTTAATCTAATAATATTAATTGATTCATTTGTAGGTTTAATACCTATGAGTCGTGGGCGATTACTTGTTGCTATGGCAACAAATGCTGAGGACTGTGAGCAAGAAATCTCTTCACCGTCATTATTGTCACTGGAGAGTAGAAATAATGAACCTGATGTCCAAATAGAAAACAGTGACGTTGCGAAAGTACGATCACCTTCTATACCTTCAACATTTACGAGTGATCAAGTACTTCAAGAGATTGACGTAAACAGTTTCTTTAGTAAGGTTAGTAATGTTAAACCTATTATAGAATCCAACCACGGGCAATATTACATTTCACCGATTCACTCAGACCAGGGCGACTTTGATTCCGATGATTCCGACCGAGATCCGCATTTCGTTCCTGGTGTGCAAAGTAAAACCTATAGTTTGCTTCAAGGCCTAACAATAACATCATTAAGTAGCTCTTCTTCAAGAAGCTCTTCATCGAGTAGCTCTTCTACCAGTAGCTGTTCATCAAGTAGCTCGGATGATAGAGTTGTTCATAATTTAAGTCCTTTTGCTGGAACTAGTGGGTTAACTAATGAATTAAAATTTTCCTTGGAAAACCAAAACAATAATACTAAGGGCAAAAAGAGGATACGTAATATTAAAACCTGGAAACACAGTGTAGCCAAACGACTTCGCAATACTGCCAAAGCGTATGAATCAGTGAACAAAAAACAAGTGCCTGCAAGGAAAATGGGTCCGACTTGTGGCAAAAAATGCAGGTTAAACTGTCGTTCACGAATAAACGAGACATCAAGACAAGATATTTTTAATAAGTACTGGAATTTGGAAGATTTACAAAAACAAAGAGAATTCTTTATTAGACATACTATAGAAATTAAACCAAAATACAGATATTCTTCAACAAAAAATGTTCGCAAACTAAATACTGGATTTAATTTTACATTAAACAACGATCTCATTAGAATTTGCAAAACAATGTTTAAAAATACTCTTGCTATAAACGATCGACCCATTGCTACAGCACTATCCAAAAAAACAGAGTGTGGTTTAATACAAGATGAATTACGTAGAAAACATGGCAAACAACGTACTGTGGAACCGGAGATCTGTGAAGGTGTCAAACATTTTATAAATGCTATACCACGCGTCGAATTACATTACCTTAGAGCCCAGACGTCACGGGAATATATCCAGGGTGACAAGTCTTTAGCTGATTTATATCGAGACTACAAAGATAAATGTACAGAAGGAAGCTTATCATTTGCGTCAGCATCTACCTTTAACCGCATTTTTAATAAAGACTTTAACATTTCCTTCCACACACCAAAAAAAGATCAGTGTGATTTTTGCGAAAATTTCAAAAATTCTGATGAAGATGGAAAAAAGAATATTATTGTGGAGTACGAAAACCATTTGAAAGAAAAAGAACTGTCCAGAAAAGAGAAAGAAAAAGACAAAAATGCTAACATAGATTCAACAATAGTCGCTGTATATGACTTACAAGCTGTGATGCTAGTACCAAAAGGCCAAGTTTCATTATTTTTTTACAAAAGTAGAATTAACTGTTTTAATTTTACTGTGAGTGACTTGTTCGCTAAAAATGTCGAATGCTATTTTTGGGACGAAACGGAGGGAAAACGTGGTGCGAATGAGATTGGGAGTTGTACTCTGAAATATATAGAAAAAATTTTACAGGCTAATCCTGGTAAAGAACTGGATTTTATATTTTATTCTGATAATTGTTGCGGACAACAAAAAAATAAATACATCCTTACAGCATATGCGTACGCAGTACAAAAAATGAATGTCAAAAGCATAACCCATAAATTTCTGATTCGCGGTCACTCTCAAAACGAGGGTGACAATGTGCATAGCGTCATAGAAAAGCAAGTAAAACGTTTCGTAAAATCTGGTTCAGTGTATGTCCCACAACAATATATGACATTAATTCAGTCGGCTAAAAAGACAGGCAAACCCTGTAGCGTGACTGAAATGACCAATGAAAAATTTTACAATCTGAAATTACTTCAAGAAGAGTGGGGTAACAATTTTAATGTTAATGAAGAAAAGGACAAAATCAAATGGCATGACATTAAGGTATTTCGTGTTGAAAACGAACATCCATTTACTTTCTTTTATAAGAACTCTTACGAAGATGAAAATTAGCAAAAAGTTTTCCTACGTAGCTTACGACGAACTGAAAACCAGACTTCGTTATTTACTAATGGTTTGACACGAGAGTACACAAACAAGATACCTTTAACTGAAAATAAGAAAAGGGACTTAAAGGAATTGCTTGACAAAAATGTAATACCCAGAAGTTACCGTGAAACTTACTATAAGGATTTGATGGATTAAAAATTAAAATTGTATTTAATTGTAATCAGTAATAATTGATTTTGAGACTGATTGAAACTCTGAGTTTTGAGACTGAGTTTAAATAATTTGTTTTTCTTTTAAATAGGTCCTTTTAATTAATCACGAATTACTTAAATATGACTATATTTTGTGTTCTTTTTTCAGAAGGTTTATTTTGTTAAATACATAGATTAAGTACAAAATGTTCAAGAATACTGTATTTTGTTATTTGTATCTGAGTTTGTTTGATTATAATATAAACGTAATTAAAAACAGTCTTGATTTATTTATTAATCCCAAAATTGACAATTCTCGGTAATTGTTAACGTGTAATACAATCTCTTTAGATTCGAAGTTAACAAATACCAAGAATCAAGTTCCCAAAATTGTTGTAAGTCCAAAAACTAACGTAAACCACAGAAAAAATGGTAAATCAAATTGTAGTAACACAAAATATTTCATAAATAATGTCATAACTAAAAATAATATTTTATTTTGAACATTTTGCTTAGAGCAATACAGTGTTAACTCAAATTTTTTTAATAACTTCACTGTCAGTATTTTTATTTAACAAAGATTACAAAGAAACTTCATTTAACATTAATTAGAAACATATTATGCATTAATTTTATTTTTACCTGCAATAGGAAATGAGTAATCAGTTTTTCGTTGATTCTGAAAAATCATCTTTTTTGAGTTACGACACGTATTAGAGTTACGTATTGTATTATTAGTGCGATATGATAGAAAGAATTGCATTATTATATTATGTACATCAGTACCAAGCCTCAATAATTGGTCTCTCAAACAATATATTGCAATAAAACAGTTTTTCTCTTAAAGTACTACTATTGGATATATGTGGTTTTTAAAATGACCGATTCATTTATTTTAGATTTAAACCTTCCTTTAATTTTTTAACAGCTGTAGTAATGATATTTGAATATTTAAAAATATCGTCATTTACCTTATACCTACATAAAATCTTTTATTTTCACCAGAAACACCTACTTTTTTATTTAAAGTTTATTTAATTGTAGTAAAGGTTATTTAATACCCTGTAATTTCCAAAATAAGTCACAAACAGAACGCGATTGGCTATGAATATTCCTCCATATATCATACTATTATGTTTAGTTAATATTTGTCAAATATAAATAAATAAGTAGAATAACAAAAGGCAGAATAAAAACAATATAAATAACATTATTTTAGTACTATTAACGAATGTAGTGAATTGAAGACGATTTACAGAGACATACTGAAATACTCTTTCATATTCTGGGGTGGTATCTTCGCTGGATGAAACTCGTACTTCATGTATCATCAGGAATTCAACCTGTAAATTTAAATTTTCTATTAGAATATTTTTTTTTATTTAAATTAATGTGTCTGGGCTGCAATGGCCATTGACACAAACAATATTGTGTACAATAATTACAATAAGCACATATCGCTGCCTCACTGCAACACTGTACTATCTTAAAATCAACCATTTTGAGAAAAACGGGTTTAAAGTGTTTCATGCCTAATATTGACGCCTTAGCGAAAATTATTGATTATTTTCATTTCTCAGTTAGTTGTTAGTTTAGGTAAATTAGTCTTGTACAATCTTAAACAGCACTAATGTATTATCTTTTAAAACATTCTTTATTTATTGGCTTAAAAATGAAAGGAATTTGAGTTGTTACAATACTGAACTAAACGTTTCAACAACTTTTATAACTGTTACGTTTATTTGTAGATGTTACTGTTTTGTTCTGAAAATTAAATGACATTAAATTAAATTTCTTCCACAATGTTATAAAATAGTTATGGATATTACAATTTAGCTCTAAAATAATATATATGTATAATAAAAATATTGAGTGGTTGTTGTGTAAATGTTGTTAAGACAGTTTTAGTAAAACATTATTTCCTAATGGGGAATAAACAATGTTTATTGACAATGGCATCTTAAAAAAACTACATTTATTTTTCGGCTCTATTCAGTACACGTTAACAGAATAAACTACACTGACTTAGTTATCATCATCATTTTATTTGGTCCTCATCCCATGGAAAATGTTATGATAAGGAGTTGGTATTAATCTTGCATCACATAAACTTACTAAATCCGCTTTTTTCTAAAGAGGAAACTCTGGTGGAGCTCGATATGCTTGTTTGAGTTTGTGGGAGATCTCTTTGGCTGATAAATTAACTAATGATCTAGAGTTCGACAGCTGCTGTTTTGTTTTTCTAGGTTCCGTTGGGACACTTCTAGAAGTCAGTGAAGAATGTCCTCTAGACACAACAACAAGAGAACCATCTTTCTTTTTTGTTATTGTATCATTCAGGTTAAAAGACATCATTTCCTTTTGCTCATAAGAATACTTATAAAAACCAGTCAATGGGGTTGATTTCCTTTGGAAGTTAAAATACAGCTTCAAGATCAAAGCAAGCAACAAAGTGTTTGATTTATGATCCCTACTATTGTTTATGTCTTGCTGTTTCTTTGCATGAGATAGTTCTTTCTCCTTTTCGTGAATTTTTACTTCCTCTTCTATATTTTGTATTAAATATTTCTTCATACTTGTGTTTTTTAGCAAATGGAACTCCTTTTTCCATGCAATTTGTTTTACAGAACCTATAGATTATAGAGTTAAGTCACCATCTATAAACTCTCTTTTATTATCAGCTCGACAGTAGTGCGATTCAATTCTAGAAAATGAATTGATGTGGTCATACATACTGTTTATTGTCAATGGATCTATGCGTGGTTGGTTGTATGGTTCTGATGTTTTCCTCTTTGATCTTTAAGTATTATACCAGAGGACGTAGTTTTCTTCTTTACAGTAGTAAGATAGGTTGCACTAATACAAAAAGTATTGGTAAATATGTTTTTACAAACTTTTCAAGCAAGAGTTTCTTTTCACCTACAATACAATGGTACCTGTAGTTTGTTGCACGTTGGGAGTTCTTCTTTTTGTAACTATAGTTTGGGTGTACTTCTTCCATTAACTTAGATATAAAATCTCTTTTCCGGTTAGCATCATGAAGACCAAGAAAGGCATCTAAAAGTTTTTGTCGAACATCTACATTTAGTTTTGACGAAAATTTCAACCTGCATTTATCACCACAGCCAGTTTTTAAAGTTTTCTTATATACAAGTGTCCCTGATTTGGTTCTGTAAGCCTCGTCTTTATTTACTTTGATTTTCTTAATGTTATTAACCCACAAGTTTTTTTCTAACTCTCTTCTTTGAGTTTTTCTTTACAGATTTGTCACTTTCCTCAGAAACTTCTTCAATAGGCCTATTAAACGTTTGCTCATTTATTTCGTTCCTTTCAGGATTAGACTCATCTTGTTTAAAACTGCTTTCTGATTGTGAGTCTGAGTTTAACAAGCTAAAATTAGGTACATAATGTCATTTGGGTCTTCTCCATTGCGATCTAGAGAGTTTTGGTCTTCATTATTGACCATCGGATTTATCAAATCGTAAGGTTGTTGTCACTGTTACTTATTCTTTTATGTATATCACAATCGCTTTCTATAATCCTAGGCATTTCTTCTTCTACCAACCATTTTGAGATGTTACAGTATAGCACTGATACAACGATATTACTAATTGCTACAGTTAATCTATAAGCTTAGCACCTATGACTAAATTATACAATAGTTTTATCACTAAGTTATATAAGTTAAAGGTAAAGTACATGGAAAACAAGGAGGGATCATATTCTGTTGAACAACTAAATGTTTTTCAAGAAACCAATTGGGTTAAAGACTTGATCGGGCGAGTTTAAAACGTCTTTGATATTTGGCTTAAGTTTATGTTGCACTCTGTGTTTTGCGTATCGGAGACACTAGATCAGGATATGTTTCACAGTTAATACACTTGAACAGATTTGGCAATTGGGCTTCCTCTCGGATTTCATTAAATATTCATGTGTAAATCGGGTATGTCCTATTCTTAATCTTCGGATGACAGCTTTTTCGTTTCTAGACATTTTTGGAGGTTCAAATTTTTCAACAGTCTGCCGGATCTCATGTAATGCACTCTTGATTGTGTTCCAATGGATTTGCCAGGTATGATACTGTTGTTGCTTGAAAATTTGCTTCAAGTCATTACGGATTTGAATATGTTGAGCTTTTAAGGATTGACTGTTTACACAAGAAGCTTGCTTGGCTGCTTGGTCGGTCTACTTTTTCATTACCCGGGATGCCGACATGGGATGGTAGCCAGATGATTGTGACACTACACCTTGAAAAGCGAGTGCACTGTGTGTCCTATGGATTTCTTGAACTAAGGGATGCTGAGAGTATAGACTTTTAATCGATTGTAGTGACGACAGGGAGTCTATGCATATTGCTTGGTTTTTATGATCTGTTTTTAGTTTTTTAAAAGCCTCTAGTATCGCATAAAGTTCTCCAGTGTATACGCTGCATAAACTCGGTAAAAAAGATGATTTTATTACTTCATCATGTGTGGTAACTGCACATCCAACGCCTGCTTCGCTTTTGAAGGCATCTGTATACAGAATTGTTTGGGATTGGTTCTTGCTTATGATTTCTTTGAAGTGTTGCCTTATGAGAAGGCTTGAGGTTTCATGTTCACTGTATTCTAATGGGGAAGTGATTGAACCAAGGCGGGGTATCTAGGATTGGGAAGGGATGTTAGGTTAGTGTATATATATATATATATATATATATATATATATATATATATATATATATATATATTAATATATATTAAGTAAGATGGTTTCGTCCGCACCCCATGTGTACTTTGATAGTACCTTGATAATATTGAGTCTCTTCATTGCATTGCCCTTTAATACACTAAAATGCTGTTTCCAAGTTAGCCTACTGTCAAACGTTAAACCAAGTATTTTTTGATGAGTAACTAGTTGCAATGGGGTTCCATTAAGGGTAATAATTGGATTTTGACTGCAGGGTCTTCTGCTAAACCGTATTAATTTCGATTTAGTCGTTGAAAGAGCTAATCCGGTTTTTTTTGGACCATTCGCTAAGTTGATTTACAGTGGTTTGGAGTACGTTGCCTGTGGCGATTGTACTTTTTCCCTGACATTATAAAATAAGGTCATCTGCATATATTAAGTGCTTGACTGGTGTCAAATACTGGAACAAATATCATTTATTGCAAGAATGTACTGTGTTATACTAAGTACTGAACCTTGTGGATCTCCATTATTTTGCCCGAATGTCACCGAAATTTCTCCATTTGTTTTCACTTTGAACGTTCTTTGTTGTAAAAAGTTTTTTATGAAGGAGTAAATAGCGGAATGTTTGTTTGAAATGAACGAATGTTTGTTTGAAATAGCGGAAGCTATTTGTGTTTGTAATAGCACTAAATTGTCTAGGGTTGAACGGTGACGTCTGAAACCTGATTGCGGTGAGTCAAATATTACATATTTTTCGAGAAGCCATGTTAATCTTGAATTAATCATTTTTTCAAACAGTTTACATAATGAACAGGTTAGAGAGATAGGTCTGTATGATTTTGTTAGATTTGAGGGTAGATCAGATTTTTTTTGGTATGATAATTGATTCACGCCACAGTTTGGGTAATTGCTGAGTAGACCATATCTTGTAATAAAGATTCAGAAGTGTTGCGAGGCTTTAATGAGATAAATTTTTTATGAATATAATTGGGATATTGTCTGGTCCAGCAGCGGAGTTTGTACAAGAGGATAGTGCAAGTGCTAATTCTTCTTGTGTAAAAGTAAGGTTAATAGCATCAATGTCGTGTCTACTAATTTTTGGAACAAGAGAAAGTTGTACATTCTGGTCATTTGGACTTTCAATCTGTTCGACTTCAGACCTAAATTTCCATGCAAAACTTTCAGCCATGATTTGAGCAATTGTTTGGTTATCTTTTATAACTTTTCCATTCAATGATATTGCTGGAAGTTTTGGATGAGTTTTATGACCTTTGTAGAGACAAAATTATACCAGGAATCTTTTTTGCTTTTTTTTAAGGACATATTTCACTTTGGCTCTTAGCTTTTTGAAATAGATTAGGTTTTCTTGAGTTCTTCTTTTTCGATATCTGTTGAGGGCCGTTTTGCATTGACGTACAATTAGTTCACATTCTGAATTCCACTTTGGTACTGTTTTTTTAGAGGGGCATATTGTTATTTTTTTACATGATTTTCTGCAGACATAATAATGCAGTTATTAAAGAAAGTTATTGCCTTGTCTATATCTTCAGATTGTTGAAGTAATAAAATATGATCTTCGGCGCTAGTTTGAAAATTATTCCTTTTCTTTCTTTCTCTTTTATTTCTTATTCCTCGATTTATCTTCCATAAATTTCAAACCAACTTTTATCTATACTTACTTCATACAAGGAAACAATTAGGTAATAACATTCTTTTTATCACTTATGTCATAAGTGATAAAAAGAATTTTATTATATTTAAGGTATTATATTTACACTTATGTCATAAGTGTGTACAAAAAAATATCAGTCTTTTGATTCTTTTTATCGCTTATGACATAAGTGATTTATTATTTTCAACTACCTAACTTAAATTTTGCCTTACCCTGGTATACCAAATGTATTTTACATCACAGTCACTCATTGTTTTACATTCTCCCACCTTTTTAAAATACCAAAAATTGCTATTGATCCTACTACACACAAAACACAATTCTTCACTAAAAACGGCTTATTCACAAACTTAAGCACAATGCCTTTTGCTCCTATTACATCATTCCACTTGACATTGACGGGTACTAACTGATTTTTCACACCATCTTTCTATCAGTTAGCCCTAGACTCCAGCATAGATCAGAGGTAATGTAAGTCGATAAAACCTCACCAGCTACAGGGGGTCATGTAAGTTGCCCCCATTTTCAGTTTTTATTAATCAAAAGTCTATTGCATTAACCTTTATAAATACCATGAGGATCGTTTTTTAATACGGATGTCCTTCCAATGTTTTTATGTGGCCATACAATGTTTTTTGACAACCTTTTTATGTAAGTAGTAAAAAACCAACGTGTTCTGTTTATATATTTAAATTTTAACTTACCTACTTGTTTTTTAATATTGGTATTTTTACTCTCTCCTTTAGTAAACTGATGATGGAATGATTCAATTCCGAAAAGATCTTCTTTAAAATAAAAATTTTAAGCTTTTAATAAGCACTTTTTTTATACCTTAATACACACGAACACCACGTGCTTTGTATTCAACAGGTATACTAGCCACTCCTGGATATCTCCACTTCATTGTTTGTTCCAGTTTCACTTTTAATTTTAAATACTAATAAATTATTTTAATACCCTAATATCCACCATTTTCACGATGTTTATCATCCAGCATGCATTTTTAACAAATTTCAGAAATACAGACACTTACTTGCTTTTGAGTTTTATTATTTTCAGGTAAAATTAGTAGGATGTGGTAGGGGTAATTCACTACGTATTTAAGAAATACCATATAGTGGACTGTTTGAAAAATTTAAAATGGAAACACATAAGTTATTCGATAACTTATAAAAATCGATAATGACATTGGCAAATAATTCATGGTCTATATAAATGATATAAATATCTAAATATGTACTAACTTAAGAGTCCCAGGAACACTCGGTACCCGCTGTATACCATAATCCAACCTCATTGTTGATGCATCTTGGGAATGGGTCATCTCTGGCTGTGCGTGAAGTCCAAACAATAACTCTGCGGGTTGGGCAGTTCGCCGTCTTATTTTAGATTTGGAGTGCGACTGCGACTGGGAAAGTTGAGATTCGGGAATAGATAAACTAAAAAATAATATACTAGTAGATATCTAGCAAAGACATTTGTTATTTTTAATTAGTTCAGAGTGAGTAGATAATATTTAAAACTCAGTAAAGATACTCCGATCATTTATCTTTCTAATCACCTCCGTTAATTATATTTTAAAATGTTTGCAATAAGAGTGGTTAATTACAACATATATTTAACTTGCTTCAGCCACACTGCGTCTTTCAAGCGAGGCTTCGTTTGAAGCAAACTAATTTAATTTCTTCTACTCGGGTCATATGCTTATTCGATTGTTTTTCTCTGCCAGATTTCATTTAGGGGAACCCGGGGTGGAACGGGGTACCGGGGCAGAATGGGAAACCGACGTGATATTACCTACAAATGTCAGGAAAGTATAAAACTGTTTTCACTATTGAGCAAGAGCCTCAGCTTTTCGTTTATCTGAAAGATATGCAAAAACAACTGTTCAGAATGCCTATGAAAGAGTTTCGCCGACTAGCATACCAGCTAGCAGAAAAGAATAACTGCATAACTTCAACAGAACATCGGAAATGGCAGGAGAAGACTGGTGTAAAGGTTTTTTCAAACGTTTCCCTGATTTAAGCTTAAGAAAACCCGAAGCAATTTCTGGAGCACGGGCTATGGGATTCAATAGAGTAGCAGTATCGAATTTTTGTTAATCTGCTTAATGAAATTCTGTACAAGCACGAATTAGATGCCACTAGAATTTTCAACTGTGATGAATCGAGTATTAGCGTGGTTCCCAAGCAGTTTTCGAAAATAATAGCTGTTAGAGGACAACGTCAAGTAGGTGTCTTCAGTGCTGCTGAAAGAGGCACCACTGTCCCAGCCAAAATATGTTGCTCAGCTGCCGGATGTTACGTTCCCAATGTTAATATTTTCGCGAAAATAGAAACAACGTGAATTTGAAACAGGTATCCCACTAGGAGGCTGGGCTGAAGTTAGCGACTCTGGTTGGATAACTGCAGAGATTGTCGTAAAATGGCTACAACAGTTCATTCTGATTTCTAAAACGACGAAAGAACACTCAGTTCTGTTACTTCTTGACAGGCACACGTCAAACACAAATAGCTTGGCCGCAACATATCTAGCACTTGACAATGGTGTGTTAACACTATGCTTCCCTCCTCATTGCTATCACAAAATTCAAGCATTGGACATTGCATTCATGAAGCCCTTGACCTTGTATTATGAGGATGAAATAAGGAAGTGGCTCAGGTCGCATCCAGGGAGAGTGGTTTCAAATAATCGCATAGCATTGAAAAATCTGGTATCTGGCCATCCAATATGAATAAATTCACCGATGATGACTTTCCACCATCAGCAACAACAGATATTCCCTTGGAAAATCTTGAGACAACTGACTCAACGCCAACTACACAAGTACAGAATCATTACTCCTCACCCCATGTTCATCCCACACCCGTAGTTGATAATCCTATCAAAAATAATCCATCCTTACCGACAATTAACGAATGAAATGAATGTCCCTAAACCTGGATGTTCTTGGATGCCCGATTCCCCTGTTCGTACTAATGCCGACACACATTTTTCAGTCACGTGGCCAAGAGACCTAATTCCGTTGCCAAAAATTAATGCCGGAACAAGGAAAAAAGGAAAGAAAATAAGAACAAACAGGTTAAAACTAAGGCAAAGAAACAAAAAATATCTGAAACTGAATCCGAAGATAGCGCAGAAGAAGAAGATGCGGCCTGCTTGTATTGCCATGATTAATACTCTAAGTGCAATGAAGGCTAGTGTTCTTGTAGCATTTGTAAGAAATGGACACATCTAGCATGTGCTGGTTTAAATAGTGACGATGATGGAAGCGTTCTCGTCTGTGAACTTTGCCAATGATATTAGCTATAGTATGGGGCACCCCACTGTGCCCCGGAGAGAGGAGAATGGGAAATTTCTCTATATTTTTGTAATGCACATTTTTCTCAGAAACGTTTGTTTTTTTAACTTAAGCTACACTTTCTTTGTAAAGAAATAAATAAATAAACATAAGATTGGTCAAATAATGGTGTAGTTTCATTAAATATCGTACAAATTACTATCAAACTTAGGAGGTACCCCGTTCCACCCCGGGTTTCCCTACGTTACCTCATTACCAGGTCGCCTAATATATTCACTCTTTAATTAATCTTGAAGTAAAATAAAAATCTGTATCACCTAGGAACCTGCTGACTCCTTTTATAGTTGGAAAACAAAATTAGTTTTTAGTTCATATATAGAACATATTTTTGTTTATATTTAATGGTAATGGTAGATAATAAAAAAAATGAAATTAAAAGGGTTGACCACTTACTGCATTTCTAAAGGTACAGGAGACGAAGAACGGGAAGAGGTAGAACTCGTAGTATCGTTAGTATTACTAGAAATACTGGTAATGAGCTCTTTTGAAAATATTGGAATTTCATTATGAAGGACATGATCCAATAGTTGTCCTTTTACATTATTTTCTTGTTGCAGCTAAAAATAAAATTTATACAATTAATAAAAATCATATACAACACAAAAATCATGTTACATCTTCATTTAATCAGATATAGGGAAGTCGGGGAAAATAAGTGAAGTCGATTTTTTAAAGTGTAGTTGCGCGTATTGTGAATATTATAATACAGGGTATAGGTATCTTTTTGTAATTGTTTTGACGTAAAACAATAGTTTTGTTTGCTTACAAGTTCAATTAAACAAAACAATTGCCAAATTTCTTTATTCCGTGACAAAAATCTTAGATAAAGCTTACATAAGCGGGAGATCTTTAAAAATTTTCTTATTATATTTAACACGTTCGCCGCCGACTATATTTTGTAAATCAATGCCTCCGTGAGCCAGCCATTCTTTTTTTAAGTGCTCCTATGAGCCACCATATAACAAATGTGTTGGTCCCATCGGGACAACGCGGCCCAGTGAACCGTACTAATGCTTCTGTGCGCCGTTGGTCCGTCGCAGTAAACATAACCTAACATAAATAAACGAATTTGCATTGCCTATTGTTCTTGTTGATTGTTTTTCATATCAATAAATTGAAAGAATAAATTGCTGTAAGTATTAAATAATGTTTAAATTACAATATTTTTACAACATATTGTGTAATTTTAGATGTCTCGACGTTCTAAACCTCTGACAGAGCGTGAATTGCAAAACATTGCAATCAATTTTGGAGAACTCTCCGATGACGATGATGAACCATTCGAAGCTTCTGATAGTGAGTACCTGTGTAGTTAAGAAGAAGAATCAGATTCGTCAGATTCAGAAGAAACGGTGGAAAATGTACGAAAGCTTTTACAGGGAAAAAAATAAAATTAGATTCACAACCTACTCGTCATGTTCACGATAATATCAATCCAGGACCGAACTTGAATTCAATGCATGATCCAGAACAACCTAATCATAATCTTCAATGTAATATCGTTCCAGGACCGAACTTAAATTCAATACTCGATCCAGAACCGAACTTAGATCCACACCGTAGTGAAGATCCAGTACTGAATATAAAACCAAATTGGGGTCCAGTAGTAGGTAATTATAAGCTAATAGCACTTTTTTCTATTCCGTCAGGAGTAAATGATGAAGTAGCTGCAATGTTGGCAAATGGTACGCCTGGAGACTTTTTTGATGCTGTGGTCGATGACAGAGTTATTAGTCTGATTTGTAACCAAACAAATATATATGCAACTCAGTCTGTACTGACTGCAGACGCAACACCAAGCTCTCGCTTACATGACTGGATTCCAACGACAAATATTGAAATTAGAAAATTTTTAGGACTGGTTGCCTGGATGAGTTTAGTGAAAATGCCAAAAATCGCAGACTATTGGAGTAACGATAACCTATTCTACAATAATTTTGCAAAGAATGTAATGTCTAGAAATCGATTCGAGATGCTGTTAAGGATGTTTCACTTTAATGATAATTTATTAAAGCCACTTGTCGACATTCTGACTGCAAATTTTAAGTCTTTATACGTGCCGGAAGAATATGTCTGCATCGATGAAACCGTATTACCCTTTAGCGGACGCTTGGGGTTTAAACAGTACATTAAGACAAACAGACACAAATATGGTGTAAAAATTTTTAAAGTATGTTCTGGATCTGGATATACTCACAATTTCAAAGTATATGCAGGGAAAGAAAATAGTTCTAACGTCACTCCAGAAAGCGTTGTTCTGTATTTTATGGAGGATTTAGTACATCAAGGAAGAACTATGATAACCGACAATTGGTATACAAGTTTACCGCTAGCAAAAAAAATGTTGTCCGTCGATACACACCTGATAGGAACTGTTCGAAAAAATCGAAAATATTTACCCCAAGAAGTAGTAGCTGCAAAATTAAATAAAGGGCAGATTGCTTCTATGAAAAGTGATGATGGAGTGACCATTACGAACTGGAAAGACAAAAGAAATATTTACATGCTTTCTACTAAACACGGCAATGAAATGGTCGAAGTATCTTGTAATCGACAAACTAAACTGAAACCCAAGGTGGTAATAGATTACAATAAAGGCAAAGCGGCAGTAAACTTATCTGACCAAATGGGAGCGTATTCCAATCCCCTAAGGAAAAGCGTAAAATGGTTTAAAAAAGTGGGGTTTGAATTATTATTAACTACATCAGTTATAAATTCTTTTTTAATATATAAGCTTGGAACAAATAACAACATGTCGGTGACAGATTTTAAAAAACAAATAGTGAAACATCTAGTTACTTATAAAGAAACCACTACTGTACCACGAAGTGTGTCAAATAATCACCATCAGCTTGAACAGAAGGCAGACGGAAGTAAACATCAACGAAGGAAGATTTGCAAGAACTGCTACAAAAAAAAAAAATAGTGAGCAACACGGCCGTCAGTATGCTATGAACAAAACTAAAAAGGTAGACACCTTTTGCAAAAGCTGTGACAAGGAACGTTTTCTGTGTATAGGTTGTTTTAATGAATTACATAGAATTTAAATAACTTTTTTTATTGGTTGTTTTACATTATTTGATTTTTCTGTTCATAAATATCATCCCAAAGTTGTAAATAACGTTTTTGATTTATATGGGACCACATTTGTCATACTCCATAAATCGTACAAATTCTCTATACAGCACATAACTTGTAGGCCTCGTTGGTCCTTTTCCATGGTGATTTAATACTAAATAAACACCAATGGCTCGGTACATATCGGAATAAATGTTGGTCCCATAGGGCCAACATGGCCTGTTAATGCAATACTTGCGTTGGTCCCATTGGACCAACGTAGCCTATTGAAGCAACATCAGTGATGGTTCCATCGGACCAACATGGCAGCGAACGTGTTAATAAGATTCGTTTTCAAATTTGCCCCCTTATATTTTTCTGCCAAAAAGTAGCGCCATCTAGCCGGCGTCAATTCTGTCTTAATAAGATTATAGCGAGTTCGACCTCTAGGTTATTTAATAGCACTCTGTGCATTTAATTTAGTTTGTTAATAAGCTGTGTGATCCGATACGAGATGGCGCTATTAGGTTAGTCGTTTCATTTTGTATTTTATTATATTTTATTTTACTTAATATGTACTGTTTTATAATAGTGTGTAGTTCTTCTATGTGTTTTTATTGTAATGGCAAGTCCGTAAATAAATAAATAGACGTATGTAATATGACGTATGTAATATTATCTATTGCACCTGATTAAACAGTATAGAGGAGGGAGGGTCACCCCAGCATAGATTGTTGTTGGTTTTAAACGACCTCAGATAATTTTTCCTAGATCTGTATCCTGTAGTCAACTTTTAGAGGGTTAACAGTAGTATCAAGATGAGTGCTTAATTTCAACATGGTCCTACTAAGACTTGGAAATAGTCCATGTGAAAGATGTCCATAACGTGCAATCGACATCAACAATGACAGCAAAAATACAGGATATATTTTTGACGATCATTAACCGAGAAAGATTTAGTAGAAGCCCTATGAAGAATGTAACAAAAAAACAATAGAATGCGACTTTGGGGGGTTTTAGAAAGTATGAAATTGATCAATATAGCTTGTAAATAATTCACAAAAGAAATTATTTTAAGATAAAAAAAAGATTGATTTTACCTCTGCCATAGTAGCTTCACTTTCCTTCAATTTGGCATCTCTTTGGGCAACTAAATGATTCTGGCTTAGTGTCATATTATACAGCTTTTGAATGATATACTTCGCTTCGTCAATATCGTAAATGCTCAGGACTAGTTGTTGCAGATCATGGTTTTCACTCGTATCTTCAGCTTCTTCGATCGCCATGACATTGTGTTGGGTCTCACTGATTGTTTCCTGGACATAACTGATGTTTTCCTTTATATCCTCAATGTAACTGTCGAGTTGAGTTATGTCTTGGTTTTTTACCACAGCTTGCTGCCTTCTTTCTTCTAAAGCTTCAAGCTCTTTTCCTAAAATTGAATTGCTAGTTTAGAATTGTGTAATTGTACTGAGGAAAAGGTTAGGAGATTAAAGTAAAATTCACCAGAGTCAATAAAAATATACAGACCCATTAGCCTTCGAATAACTTTGTGGATGTATTAAGCACTGAGGTGCTTATGGGGCACGGAAACCAGAGTTTACAATACCGATTTACTCACCTGATTTTTCTGCAAAAAATAAATAAAAAAATTAGATGAATTCAGTAAAAGTATTTACTAATAGAACATTTAAGGACGGCTGTAATAGGTCTTTTGGATCGTAGGTTCCGTGCATACTACAACATAAAAATAAATAAGATGCTTAAGGAAAAAAATAATGTTTTAGTATAAAAAGTAAGGCTAAAGAAAAAAGTTAAACTCAGGCAATTAGAAGATTTAACTTTGGTCTCAGATGCATAATGTAAGTAAGAAAGTATCTAAGCATAGTATTTAAATCTAAGTCAAACAAAAATCTTACCCAATAATTCTCTCTTTCCTAGAAAATGTTCCATCCTCACTTCTTGCTCTACTAGTCCTCTTTTACTCAAGGCTATGTTGTTAATAGCTTTTTCCACTCTCAGCCATTTTTGTTTAGCAGTCTTTTCGGAGAATCCTTTTGTAATTCTTCCAGATGCTTTTACACTAAGTCTACTCCTTTGATTTTTCCTTAAAACAGAAACTTCTTCTTGCTTTCGTCTTAAAACTTGGTCTTTTATCTTTCGTTCATTTTGCATTGATTTGATGACATTTGCATTTTTACGAGATTCTTTGCGCAACTGGGCTATTTCCCTAAGCCGTCTTTGTTCTGCTTCTTTGTGCTTTTGAGATTCCTCTTTCATTTTGTTCATTAATCGAACTTTAGTTCTCTTCATTTCCAACACTTCGTTCTTATAAGACTTTAACTGATTTTCATATTGGCTTTGGCTTCTCACTAACCTGGTGTGTTCCTTTTGAGCTGCCTGTAATCGTTTTAATTCTTTCTGCATATCAGATATTTTCTTCGTATATTCATCTTTAACCTTTTTAATAGTGTCTGAGGATTCGGCTTGTGAGCTGTAGTTATGTAAAATTTTGTCTCTTTCTTCCTGTGTAGCATGAATTTTTGTTTGCAGTTGCATGAGTTTGTCTTCGTAATGCTGTCTCATGGTTTGCATTCTACGTTGGGACTGCTCTAATTCATCTATCAGTTTTTGTTTCATATCTATGTCATTCGTTAAAGTAATAAGTTCATCCTTGAGTTCATTGTGAAGTTCTTTTTCATCGCTTTCAGTTTCGCTGTCATTGTCACCGCTCTCACCATCGCTGTCATTTTCGATTTCTAATGATCTTCGGTTAAGCGCTTCTTTCTCTTTTTGAAGGTCTTGCTTTGCTTTTTCTATGAGGGAAGCGTTTTGTTTCATGGTGGAATCTAAGAACGAAATTTGGTTTGTACGAGTTATTTGCTTTCTCAATTGTTCACAGGTGTTGTTGGATTCCATTAATTTTGCTCGTAATTCTTCGATTTCTTTTAAATAACCTTGAATCATATATGAAACATCATGTTCAGTGTCTAAGGAAACACCTATCCAGGTTCCTGTCGCCTTTTCGGCTAAAAGACTTGTATTTTTCAGCGTTAACGCATCAATTGTTTCTTGCATAGCCTTAACTCTCGTTCTTAAGTTATTAACTTCACCTTGAAGCATATTATTTTCATAGAACATATCGTTAACAGTTTCCGCTCCATCTTCGCCGACTAGTCTTTTACCCTGTTTGTATTCAACTAATTCTAATTGCAGTTGAGCGATTTGTTGCTTCAGTTGAGCTATAGTCTTAGAACTCTTATCTTGATTTATAAATATCTTATTTTTAATGTTTCTCGCTCGGTTAGCGTACTTTAACGTATTCAATGTTTCCATAAAATCTCTATCACTAGGACTAACACAAGCAATCATCACAGTCTGACTGTTACCCCCAAGACTGTCCTGCAACAGCCTAGTGAGTTTCGAATCTCTATAAGGGATATGCAAAGCTTTCTTTGACTTATCTCCTAATGCTGATATAACATTACCTAAAGCTAATAGACCACAGTTTATTGAAATGCCTTCTTTTTGTCTTTCTCCAGTGGCACCTGTCCTCTTAAGTCTTTCGGATCCGGCAAGATCAACAAAGTGAAATTTGGCACTAAGCGTTTCGAATTCATTAGTCTCATCTTCAGAAGAAACTAATCGTTGCTGTTTTATATGTAATGTAAATATGGCATGCGAGCGAGAGGACTGAGTATTCATCTGAGTGCTAGCAGTCGTCCTGGAAAGAGCTCCCACTCTTAGACATGAAAGAGCTTCTTCGGCAGATAAAACAGTCTTAAAAGTTACTCCCTTTACCTGAATACCACCACACTGATCTTCATGGATCTTGTAAACCTTATCCTGAAATTAATAATGAATGTAATAAGATTACGGAATTTTCCCAATTATTTCTACAAATACTTTATTAACTAACTACAATACTTTATAAATTTTGATTTTTAAACAGTAATAATCTGTGTAATGCAAGATATTTCTGTTTGGTTTTATTTTTGTATTTCAGTTTATTAATTTGGCAATAGAAAAGTTCAATTAAATTATGTATTAATACAACTCCGTCTCTGGCAAGTGCTGGGTGGATTGAGTAGCTCAGTACCTATCAGTGCCGGTCCCGGATAAAGGAAGAGGGTTTGGCGACAGGCTAGTAACCTATCCCCAGAAAAAAAAAAACCATTGCATAAAAAACCATACCGATATTAGGCAGCGGAACATGGATTTCTCTTTTGGAACTTAACACGTTAGAATTTAAATAGACTCCCAGCGTTGAGCGCCTTACTCATTGAATTGGAAAGATACAAGATTGGTGTGGCAGCAATTCAGGAAACAAGATGACTAGGGAAGGATATCCGTGACACAAAAACATACACCATCTTGTTAAGTGGTTTAGATACTGGAAATAAGGAATTTGGGGTGGTATTTATAGTCGATAATAAACCAAAACACCTCATAACAGATCTTCAAACAGTAAATGAACGAATTTGTAGGATATGAATAAAAATTCGTTTCTTCAACTTATTCATAATAAACGTTCACTGTCCAATGGATGAACAAGATGAGGACAGCACAGTAGATTTTTAGCAAGTAGTAGAGCAATACTATAAAAATACAATTATTAGGACATAATATGATAATTATAAACATACAATTAGTAGGACATGAAATTGGCTTGGGCAGAGATATCCAGATTTGTGAGCTCCCACGTTGCAAATGAGTAGCTTGGGCAGCGTTTGGTAAATTAAACTATGTATTTAAATCGGACCTATCCATACGCCACAAATGGAAAATCTTTGACCAATGTGTGTTAACTGTACTGACTTATGGAGCGGAAACATTAACAATCACAAAAAAAGGTAGTTAATAAGATTCGCGTGACTCACAGTTAGGGCTATGGAGCGCCAGATATTAAGTGTCTCTCTGAGAGACCGAATCCCAAACAAAAAATAGGTCGTATAATAAAAACAAATCGAAAAAATCGCGTCGTTAAAATGAAATTCGGGAGAACACATCGCCAAATTATCAGACAACCGATGAACAGAACGTATTGTCGTGGAGACCAAGCAATATGGAGCAGAAGACGCCCAAAAACCATATGGACTGACGATCTGAAGGGTGTTAGCAATAACTGGATGCAAGCCGAATAAGACAGAGACAAACAGTAAATTAAACAAATTTTGTTTTTTGTTACATAGTGAAAAAATTCTTCTAATAATTTAATTTTATCTGACTCATTTATATTGACAATTCAGACATACATTATGCATTTTAAAGTAGACGACTTTAAAATGATATTGCCAATATTGTTGAGTTGCGCTCCTGGGACGACTTTACTTATGAGATAGTTCATTCGATTACATGAAATCAACTTTAACTTGAGAATATCCGTCAGAAAAAATCATAGCATGTAATTCGTCTTTAAAAAGACAAACACATGACATGATGACAGTAAAATTCTCCTGTTAGTGATTCCATAGTAAATTATGAGGGAAAAACCAGGAAAAAACCTCATAATACTATCTCGACATTGTAAGTATTTGTTCGTGAATTTAGTTTACCTTCAACAAACATCAAAATTCTGATTTTATATGTTACGTTATTTAAAAAACATAAATGATGTATCCTCTATATGTTACTGACTTACTAATACTGGTATTTTCTTATTAATAACTTCCTCTTTCAATATTGGTAACCAGATCCTACTACATTCTGCCGAGGAATTTGCGACACAATTGGCCTCGTTTAGCATAATTAGAGCCGCTTCTTTGATTTTTCTTTTTTTACCATCCGTTTCTTTTAGGACTATATTTGAATTATTCCATTGAACCCTATGTTCATTATCCCATGCGTGTTTACATATTTGAGATCTATCAAATTCTCTATTTTTAATATAACATTAAATGTTAGAATAAGTGAACATCAATCTTATATTAAAAATAGAGAATTTGATAGATCTCAAATATGTAAACACGCATGGGATAATGAACATAGGGTTCAATGGAATAATTCAAATATAGTCCTAAAAGAAACGGATGGTAAAAAAAGAAAAATCAAAGAAGCGGCTCTAATTATGCTAAACGAGGCCAATTGTGTCGCAAATTCCTCGGCAGAATGTAGTAGGATCTGGTTACCAATATTGAAAGAGGAAGTTATTAATAAGAAAATACCAGTATTAGTAAGTCAGTAACATATAGAGGATACATTATTTATGTTTTTTAAATAACGTAACATATAAAATCAGAATTTTGATGTTTGTTGAAGGTAAACTAAATTCACGAACAAATACTTACAATGTCGGGATAGTATTATGAGGTTTTTTTCCTGGTTTTTCCCTCATAATTTACTATGGAATCACTAACAGGAGAATTTTACTGTCATCATGTCATGTGTTTGTCTTTTTAAAGACGAATTACATGCTATGATTTTTTCTGACGGATATTCTCAAGTTAAAGTTGATTTCATGTAATCGAATGAACTATCTCATAAGTAAAGTCGTCCCAGGAGCGCAACTCAACAATATTGGCAATATCATTTTAAAGTCGTCTACTTTAAAATGCATAATGTATGTCTGAATTGTCAATATAAATGAGTCAGATAAAATTAAATTATTAGAAGAATTTTTTCACTATGTAACAAAAAAGACTGAGACAGATGGAAAGAGCTGAGGGAGACCTATGCCCAGTAGTGGACGCATACAGGTTGATGATAATGAGAGCAAATATATGACCTAACACCAAAAAGCGACATCAAAATACTAATAGGTACATACATTCCGATTATAACTAAAGTAATAGTACTAAATACTATTTGCTTTTTGTTCTACATTTTACAATGAGTTCTTCCAAACGTTTGATTGAAGTTTTTTTTTAATGATCTATATAAATTCGTACTTTTTAAAAGATATGTATAGGCACATATCATATATATGAGTACATAGTGTAACATCGATCGTTTAATCCCCTCATGTTGTAAAGTGAAACTTGCGATAAGATATTAGCAATGTACACATTAGTTATTGCGGTGATGCCACATATTAACGCTACCTCTAAACGATTACTAAATGTCAAATTACATGCTTTGCTATCTGAACTAGACCTTTTTATTATTTTAACAATGATTCTAATTACTGTACTTGTATACAGGTGCATATATGATTAGATGTAACGTAAACGGATACTGTGTTTGCACAACGTTGTTAGTTTGTTTAGATCTCTTCTAATTTATATTGAGATTATCTTAATTTACGTAATAGTTAGAATATGTTTTACTAAATGATTTCCAAATACTATTAAAATAATAGCTTCTTTACCTTTAGTTAAGGAAAATAAGCAAAAAAAGTACCCTGTTTGTGACTCTGAACTGGCCAGGCAAATTGTAGTTGTTTTGAGTAGTATAAAACTCAGCAGCTGCAAACTTTGAGCAGCAAAAAATGAAGCATTTGAAACATTTTTGAGAGTAAGATAGTTATAGGCCATATAAAAACCTTCGAAATAGCGTTTTCTAAACGTTCCTATCCTTATTTGTTGCTTAGAAAGCTGCAAAATAAGTCAAATATTTCGGTTTTTTATAAATGTTAATCATCATCATTATAAGTGGCTCGACAATCCGTTGTGGATCTTGGCCTGCTCACAAAGTATAGAATAGAATAGAAATATGCTTTATTGTCACTGAAAATTATTGAACAATTTTATGGACAAAGCTAAAAAATAAATCAGTTAAATAGTACAAAAAGTATAAAACAAAAACAAATATTGTAAAAAACAGAATAACACAATTTTAAATTAGTAAAATTATTGTATAACCTACATAATTTGTACAGACAACAACAAATGAGACAAATTGTAGCCACTGCTTGAGACACCCAAATGTAATTATAAACAATACTAATTTTGTTTCTTTGTTATACATTAAGAAACTCGTCAACTGAATAATATGGTCTTTCTGAGAGATAGATTTTTGTCACCTTACGAAACTTAATGAAGGATGTTGCGGATTTAATTTCTCTTGGAAGGTGATTATAAAGTTTATTTGCACGATATAGAATAGAATTCTTTACTAGCTGAGTGGACGGGATCGGCAAATAAACGTTACAATCCGAATTTCTAATGGAGTAGCCATGGTCAGGTCTATCTGGAAAAATGTTTAGATACTTTCGAATCAAACAAACACGTTTCCAAAATAAATAAAGAGGGAAGCGTCAAAATTCCGTGATTTTTGAAGTAGGTCTTGCAATGAGTTGTTTGTTTGAGACCAAATAGATAACGGATTGCTGTTTTTTGCAACTTAAAAATAGTATCAAATTGGGCCGCTGTACTAGAACCCCAAAATGGAAGCCCATATCGAAGATGGAGATCTTATTGCAAAACAAGCTGAGGCTAGTTTCTTCCTTAAGGAGTCAGTATGCAAGGACCATTTGAGATCACTGTCAATGAGAATACCTAGAAATTTCACGGAATTTACGATATTGATTTGGCTCTCATTCAAAAGCAAGGGTTGCATGACTCCTTTATAAGATAATGCTACAGTCTTATCCACGTTAAAGCTAAGTAAGTTGGAGTCTGACCAAGCCTTGATTATAAGTAAATCAGCGGTTATAATTGAATGAAGCGTTGAAATATCAGAACTGCTCCAAGTAATACTGGTATCATCAGCAAATAGAAAAATTTTCCCTTTAATTTTCAAGTAAGTGATGTCATTAATGAAAAGTAAAAAAAGAATGGGACCTAATACTGAACCTTGCGGTACTCCACACTCAATATCTTTACAACTAAGTCGGTGTCATTTATTCTAACCAATTGGTTCCTACCTACCAAGTAAGTTTTGAACCAGTTCAAAGACACACCCCGAAT